AAAAAAAAAAAAAAAAAAAAAAGGCAAGGTGTGGTGGTTCAGTCTGTAATCCCAGCACTTTGGTAGACCGAGGTGAGAGGGCTGCCTGAGCCAGGAGATTCAAGACCAGCCTGGGCAACTTGGTGAGACCTCATCTCTACAGTAAACCACAAGCAGAAGGTTTGCCTGAGCCCAGCAGGCCGAGGCTGCAGTGGCTGTGAGTGTGCCACTGTACTCCAGCCTGGTCTACAAAGAGTGGGACTGCAACTAAAAAAATAATAGTAATAATGATAATAAAATGCTTGATTCTTGTTTTCTCTGAAATGAATGTTGGCTTTGCTTTGAGAAGTGGGAAGGGATTCCAGAAGCTCTCACGTTCCTTTCCCTAAAGCTACCCGGAGAGTTGACTGCCTTGAGTTTCTCTGTAGCTCTGGAAAGTCCTACAGAAGTGGTGACAGGTCTTTTTCCATCTTAACAGGGCAGAACATAGAGTGGGAGGTTATGAGATGTATTTTTTCTGCTTGACTTTTTTTTTTTTTTTTTTTTTTTGAGTCGAAGTCTCACTCTGTCACCCAGGCTGGAGTGCAGTGGCCCGCTCACGGCCACCACAGCCTCGACCTGCTGGGCTCAGGTGATCTTTCCACTTCAGCCTTCCAAATAGCTTGTACTACAGCATGTGTCACCTTTCCTGGCTAATTTTTTTTTTTATTTATTGTAGAGATGACGTCTCACCATGTTGCCCAGGCTGGTCTCAAACCTGTGGGCTCAGCCAGTCCTCTCGCCTCCACCTCCCAAATTGCTGGGATTACAGGCGGCATGAGCCACCATGCCCGACTGCTTGACTTTTTAAAAAAATGTACTTGTACCACAGGCAAGATCTAGAGTTAGTCTGTTACCCCAAAAGGTTCCCTCGTGCACATTTTCTTTCTTTTTTCTTTTTTTCTTTTTGAGTAGTGGTCTCACTCTGTCACCTAGGCTGAGTGCAATGGCACACTCACAGCCACTGCAGCTGGACCTGCTAGGTTCAGGTGATCCTTACACCTCAGCCTTCCAAGTAGCTGGAACCATAGGTGTACACCATCACGCTTGGGTAGCTTTTTGATTTATTGTAGAGATGAGGTCTTGCTAAGTTGTCCAAGGCTGGTCTCAAACCCCTGACCTCGGGCAGTCTTCTCACCTCTGCCTCCCAGAGTGCTGGGATTATAGGTGTGAGCCACCGCACCTAGTACCCTCATGCCCATTTTCTACAGCATTATTCTCAGCTGTAATCCGGGTACAAGAACCTTTTTGTATTTTCTGTTGTAATTCCACATTACTGCATAAAGGCCTTGTTGTGTCTTCACTGTGTTCAAGTTGTCCCTTGCACCAGCCACATAATGTTTCATTTCAGCCTATCTGGTTTCATTAACCATTCTCCCCCCTTCTCTGTGCTGGGATACCTCAGCTCCTGGAGGTCTTGGTACCTCAGCACACTTCCTTGTGCACAAACTTTTTTTTTTGAGTTGGAGTCTCACTCTGTCACCCAGACTGGAGTGCAGTGGC